AAGGAAAGGAAAAATGATGAGAAATGGAAAAAATGGAAATAAAGTCTTTGTAAATAGGGAAGGGTGGAAGGGGTGAAGGGAGGGCAGGGAATGGGGAAAAAATAAGAACCAAGATGCATTATGTAAAGGTACAAGTTCCCAAAGAGAGATGTAATTGTGTTGTATACCTAAAATGTACCAATAAAAGAATTTAAGAAAAAAAAGAAAGAAACATACCCAGATGCTGTCTTCTTGTCGATACTGTTTCCAGTTCCTGCCACTGTCGCTGAACATCAGGAGATAGCTGGTCACCCAGTTGGAGCTTCCATATCCTCCTTGAGTGGCCACAGAGGTGATCTCCATTCTCTCTCCAAGGTCAGTCTGCAACCACTGGTATTTATTTGACACAAATGGAGACCAACCACCAGCTCCTTTTGTGAGAATAGAAGAAAATTGGGAAAGAAGAATTAGTTTAAAATCCATTCATAGAGTAGAAATGCTAATAATATTGTATTCTTCCATGGAATTTAAGTTTTCTAAAATACAAAATTTCCAGAATATGAAACTTCTCATAATTATAGAAAAATATAAGGAAAAATAATTTACTGTAAATGATTGGAAAGAGCATGTTTATTGCCCACATGCAGGACTGAGTAATAGTTTTGCCTTTGATCTTTTTGCCAAGGGATGGATATAAAGGAATATCATCCAGGCTTGGTATATCTAGAAAACTACTCTTGGTCATCTTCAGATTTATCAGAGAATGAAGTATAGTGCACTGTTAAGCCTTGGAAAACAAAGATGGTCAAGGAATGATCCTTCCCTCAAAGAGTTTACAATCTCTCAGGAGGGACTTAAATCAAAAGGCATGTTTGAAACTCAACACAGATAACATTAATGGTTAGGCATGAGCAGGGAGTGACAGAAGAGAAAGTGGAGAGTTCCATATAGTGGTGGGTTGGAGTTGGCTTGCAATAATGTAAAAGAGGTGATTGTTAAATTTTCAATTTTGCAAGCTAGTTATTAAACATAAACATTTTTGTAACTGGCCATGGTAGGAATACTTAAAGAAAGCTGGCCAGTGTCCTAATCAGCACCCACTCCCACTCCAGGCAGTTACCAACACACTGTTGACACCATCCCATCTGAGAAGCAGGGTCATGGGTGAGAGAATAAGGGGAGAGCCAAGAAAACTAACAGAGCCAGTTGCCAGAGATTGAGCACTCAGAAAAGGAAAATGAGAGCTTAATATACACTTGAGGAAGTACAGGTAGAGGAGAACCTGTGTTTTATTTTATCTAACACATATCAGAGTATTATATCTAGCTGTGGCTCCTAACTGTCTTGTTAAAATGCTTCTTTTTTCCAACTTACTATAATTTGGAAAATTCATTTATTTTAATATTGACATTCCAGGTCATGTAACTAATATATCATCATTATAAAAGTCATGAAATAGAGTTTATACTTTCCAGAATCTATTTATCTGCTACTCAATCTCTATTAAAATACAAGATGTATTATATAAAATCCTAAATGCTAATATTAGTATATATTTTCTTTCCCCCATTCTTTTGCCACCCACTTTGAGGCTGTAATAAGGTCTGAAATTTTAAATAGAAATTACCATGAATTTACATACAGTTTTCATTCAAACATTATTCCTGACATCTATGACCTATTTTATGAAGCCTTGAATTCAGCCTTAGTTCAAAGAGATACCAAATAAGGTCTTGCTATTATATGAGGGCACATCCCAGTGGGAGGCCTAAAGAGACACACCTGTATTGACAAGAGGTTTTTAAGATTTAATGATTCTTTTAATGATGGAACCCAACCCAGTGGCACTCTGATACATGAAAGGCAGAACTCTTTGGTACTTATAACTCTAAACAAGAGAAGGCTGCAAAGCAGCACCACACAGTGTTGAGCCAGGGGATAGGATGACAACAAGCTGAAGATATAAGAGGCAGCTAATATATGCAAGTAGGTGAGGCTAGCTAGAACTTTTGGGCTCCCTGTGGATTGGCTAGTGTGAATAATTTCTCTAGGAGCTTCTAGGACAGAGATGTTCCCTCTAGTTGTCTGGTACCTGGCTCTGGTGTGATAAGGGCTGATGCATGGTGACCCCAGAGGTCAGAGCTCAATAAAGGAAGTTGAGATGTTGCTATGATCAGTCATTCAAGAAAGGGAACTGGCCAGCCACCAGCCAGGTCCTCAAAGTTGGGTCAAATAGTATTTTATTTAATTATATTACAAAAATATCCTTTACTGATGACATCCCACTAACTTCTGCTTGCATTATCATATTGTTTTTAGAAGTAGATATTTTTTTGTTTTCTTCTTCCTTAAAGTGAATCATTATTCAAAGGTGTCTTCCACGTCATATACCACAATACTCTTTTTTAGATCCAGAATATTTAATATGTACTGCTATTTTTTATTGATGTGGTTTTACTTTTAATTTTCTCTGTATTTGCCCTTGAAGGACCTGTGACATGAGACTGAGTTTTCTTGGTCACCAATGCCATCTACCTCATTTAGGTGAAAGTAGAATAAAGCAGTAGAACTTCTTGGGCAGACATGGGCTCTGGGTCAATTGTGGAAGTCAGTGTCCTTTGGTTTAGCACTGCTGTCTGCTGCCCACAAGGGGCACTTATTCTTGCAGCCTGTTTTGGGTTTTTTTGGTACTGGGGATCGAACTCAGGACCTTCCACTTGTGAGGCAGGTGGTGGAACCACTGAGCTAAATCCTCGGCCCACTTGCAGCCTGTTTTCTACACAGAAGTTGTTCTTGGATGATCTGAAGCACACTTTAAATAGCACCCTTCCATAAACAGCTTGGGGAGTTCTTGAACCTCCATGGAAACTGCTCATGTAGCATCACTTTTAAGTCTGAGCCAATGCTCCCTCTACACTTCATTTCTCAGGATGCAATGGAACGACATCCATCCTCCTCCACTTATGCTACTACTGTGTGACTTGGTGTTTATCAAGCAAGTGAGTACTTTGTGTCAGGCACTCTCTGTGAAGCACTGCTATTTAATTCTTAAAGCAACCTATTTAATAGAAGATGAGTCAGATACACAGAACTTGAACATCCTGTCCTTGCCCACAGAGCAGGCAAGAGACACAGTGCTCTTAACAAGGACACAGGAGTGCCTCTCATTGTCAAGATACGTAAGTGGGAATTGATAGTTTCAGTAGATGTAGAAAAGACAATGCTAAGAGAGATCAGAAATTCTTAGGACTTAGCTACCAGGCAGTAGAGCCAACTTACCTCCCCCGGCCAACAATGGACTGTATCTTTGAAATATAGACACACGATGGGGTTAGTAAATGGGTGACTATTTCCCTCCACTTTCCTGTCTAATCTCACTGTTACACCCCAGAGCCCAACAAAACCTTGAAGTCCACTGCTAACCAAGCATCCTTAGTCCTCTCATTACCACAACTGCATATATCTCTGAATTTTTATATCTGGGAGTAAAGCATTAGGAAAGGGAAGTGCCCCCGGGCAGCTACCATCTTAACTTGGAAGTTCTAAGAAACATTTGGAACTTTATCTATATCAGCTTATACCCTGGAGAAAATACTGATTATTTTACTTCTTGCTCTTTTTAGTTAATTTTAATGATCTAAAATCAGTAATGAGGATATGCTTTTTTTTTAATCTGAAATTTAATAGTTTTTCTCTGGCATTGCAACATACCCTTAATAGACCAGTATTTAAAAAGCAAACAAGAGAGAAGCACAGCTAGGAAAAAAGAATCAGTGTGATCCTAGCGGGTAAAAATTGGATCATCAATTCTCATCAGGAGAAAGAGGAGCCCCTCACTGGTCGCTCCCTCTTCCCAGCATCTCTTACAGTTACAGCCTTACTAGCCAACTTGAAATATTCACAGTTAATTGACCTTGAACATTTCAATTTCTTACCTGTGGTGAAAAGGTACTACTTGTATGCAAATTAAGCTATATCATTAACAAGGTACACTGATAAAGTAATGGAAATTCGCATGCTCCTAGGCTTTACTAAGTAACTTCAGCAGGATAAATTGGCCACGGGGAATCGGAAGATTCCTATTGGGGTTTAAACTGTGTGGCTCTGCAGAGGTACATGGTATAAGTGTGTGATGGAGGGTGCTTGTTCTAATTTTAGGACAAATGTTCAATAGCAATATGGAAAATGTAAGATGGATGGATGGATGGATGGATAGATAAATAATAAACTGATCTTGGCAGACTCTAGTATGCAAGCCTGTGATTACAGGTAAGGGACAACAGTGGTGCAGATGCAAGCACAGCTGAGGTTATACCATATCTGCATGCTGCCATGACCCATCCATCTTCCCTTCCCTTCCAGAGATATACTGTTAGCATATTTACTTTTCTAATGGAGAAAATGATGGCTAACTCTCTAGCAAATTGTAAACTCTGAATTACTATAAATATAACACTATAATGAATTCTTTATTTTGTTTATTAACTAAACCTTTCAGTTGCTAGTCAAGTGTTATTTGTCCTTAATGTGCTTTTAATATGCTAATATATTCAATATTGCAGTAAACCAATACCTATAAAACTAAAGAGCATCTTTTCGTAACCCCATCTATTCTGTGGTTACTGAAACTTAAGCCATAAAACAAAAACAAGAGTTTTTCCCTCTGGCTCATTTTCTTCCCCATATCACAGATTCTCTTTCCCTATCCCACCCTCCTTTTTCTCCTGCCTTCAGCTTGTTACTGAGATTTGGCAAAATTAATTGTCATCCATCATTCAATTGGAAAAATTTTTTAACTCTTCATATTATAGCCTGGAAATTCACATTTAAGATAAAACTCTCCTGCTGCATAAGATTCTTAAATATTGTAGTACTGGTCTGAGGATTAAATTTTAAAAGCATATAGATGCCCACTGATATCTCCCATATCCAGAAAGCACAAGAGAATATGGCAGTTGTAATTTTTTGAGTTGTGAAAAAAATTACTATTGCTACTGATTCCAAAGAGTTGTAATCACAATAAAGTTGGGCTATTAAAAAATTTAGTGACTAAATGACCACACAATCCAGCATCTCTTTGATCTGTCACCTACCACTTTTAAATGTCAGATTCCTGAGGAAAACTGCTTCTAGAATATATGGGGCTATGAATTATAAGAAAAGAAAACCAACTAAACATTACCCAGTGCCTATTCTATGCTGAACACTACCTGAAATTGTATGTGCCATATTAAACTTGATTATTAAAACTAAAAATGGTGAAATATGCTGTCACATTGCTTCAAATAAAGACTAAAAATATTTATAGAACCAAAATTTGCCAATATTGTGAAAATTATTTTAGTGTAGGTAAGAAATTGCTTATTTTTAAAACTACTTTAATCTATGTGATGGTCACTTTATTAAAATTACCCACTTTTTCATTTTTACT